GGAGGAATTCTAAAAACAACTGCAATCAGCACTGGACAAGACCCCACCCCAGCTGGCGACATCAAAATCCTGATGCGTGGGGCGATATAAATGCCAAAGTGGGAACGGACAACACAGGAAGAGAACTGACCATGGATCGAGAAGCACTCGGTGAAATGATGAACGAGAATGGAGAACTGTTTGCAGACTTCTGAGAATTCAACGGTTTGGTGATTGGAGGCGATGTGTACAAACACAAGGATATTCACAAAGCGACATCGAGTTGATTTCACTAGACACCAGGACACACTAGAAATCAAATAGACTTCATCTCAATCTCAACAAAGTGGAGACGCAGCCCACTGGACACAAGATCAAATCAAGAAGGCGAGCAAATGTAGGTTCACACCACTCACTATCTAGCACAAGCAACCTACCTTCAAAATCAAGTTGAAAGCCTTCAAAGAAGTTCGTGATAAACGATCACAGTTCACGTTCAACACCCAGAACGGAAACTGAAGGACGAAACTACAAAGAAAATCTTCACACCAGTCAGTCATCAAGACAAAATGGGAGATATTGAGCAGCATCCCTGAAGAAACCTGTGTGGATGAGCACTGGAACTCTTTGAAGATGTGGAAAGAAACCTCCATAACCCTACTACAAAGGAAGAAAAACAGGGCAAGGAATGGATCTCGATGGACACATCGAAGCTGATAGAGCAGGGAGAGGAAGATGGTGATACAGAAGACAAACTAGTGCAAGGATGAACAACGAAAAGAGGAACTAAGTACAACCTATAAAACACTGGACGAAGAAGTGAAGAAGAGTTCACACAAACACAAAAGACACTTCTACGACACACTGGCAAGTGAAGCAAAACAGACTGCTGTTAGCAGAGACCTGACAACACTATATCAAATAACCAGGTTACTGTCTATCTGGCAAGAAATCAATACAGATGAGACCAATGAAAGATAGTGAAGGAAATCTAATCACCAAAGAGGAGAAAAAGGAAACAATGGGCTGACCACTTCAAAAAACTCTTGAACTGACCACCACCTACAACTCGTTCAGATATACCACCAGCAGCCCAGCCACACAATTACCAGCAAACACAAACCCTCCGACAAAAGCCGAAGTCCTGAACGCAATAAACCTACTGAAATCCGGGAAAGCAGCAGGACCAGATGCAATTCCATCAGAAGCACTGAAAACACATGCAGAGACAACAGAGGACATGCTCACACCACACCACTATCGCAGAAGGTCTGGGAGGAAGGAAAGGTACCTGCAGATCGACTGGAAGAAGAGCTACCTTGTCAAACTCCCAAAGAAGGGACACCTAAGTCTTTGCAAGAACTGGCGAGGAATCATGCTCCTGTCCACCCAATGCAAGCAAAATATTAAGCCGCATCATCCCGGAGAGACTAAAAGATGCGCTGGACTCAAAATTACCACCGGAACAGGCTGACTCACAGGCTCCAGGAAGAACAAATCATGTGCGAAACAAATTGCAACGCTATGCATCATCATAGAACAGAGTATAAAATGGCAGTCAACTCAAATCTACCTCAACTTCATCGATTTTGAAAAGGCCTTCGATAGAGTCGACCGAGAAGTAATTTGGCAGGTAGCTACTTCAACACTACGGCTTTAGTGCCACAAACCTTTATCAACCTCATTCAACAGCTATATGAAGACGCCACATGCCAAGTGATTCACAATGGGAAGCTCAGTGATGCCTTTGAAGTGAAGACAGGAGTAAGACAAGGCTGCCTACTATCACCGATGATCTTCCTGATTGTGGTCGACTGGACTGGATCATGCAGCAAACTGTGAGGAGAGAGAAGATGGGCATACTCTGGACCGATGAAAAGACCCTAGAAGATTTGGATTTCGCCGATGATGATTTATGTCTAATGTTGCACAAACTCGAAGATCTACAGGCAAAAACCAACAAGTTGATAGAAGAGGCAGCGAAAGAATATGGGACTTTAAGTGAACGTAGAGAAGACAGAGGTGATGAAAATACCTTACTAACAATAACAACAAGCACCGATTACCAACAACGGGAGAAACTTAAAAGAAGTAGTCTCTCTCACCTACCTAGGCAGCACTGTTTCGACCACAGGTGGCACACACGACGAAGTCAAAGCCAGTCAGGATCGGAAACACAGCAAGACAGGCCTTCCTTCATTAACCTGAAAGCAGTGTGGAGATCTACTGCACTCAGTACAAAGCGTGAACAACATCCGGATTTTCAACACCAATTCAGTCAAGTCAGTGCTCCTGTATGGTTCAGAGACTTGGCGTGTCACCAAAAAGCATTTCCAACAAACTCCAGACATTCATTAACAATTGCTACCTACACACACTCGATACTGAAGATCAGATGGATTGCCAGAATAATAAGAATAAGAACAATAATCAACAAGGAAGTCACTGTGGCTGGCTGGCTAGCTGGCTCGTAACGAACCAACCAGGAACCTATCATCTAACAAATATGCAGCAGAAAGTGGAGATGGATTGGATTGAGCATACAATGAGAAAACCGTTTGGGGACATCACGCATCAGGCACTTGAGCGGAATCCGCATGGGTGACGACGAGTTGGGCATCCCAGCTGAGGGTGATATGCAGGCGATCATGTGAGGAAGAAATGAAAGCTTCTGGGCAGTAGCGGAGCCAGGTTCAAAAGACTGTCGAGAAGAGAGTAAAATGGAGACGTGCTACTGAAGCCCTATGTTCCATTTGACCAATGACCTATATACGTAAATCATCTTGTGCAGAATTTGGGAATATATTTCTGGTTCTTAGCAAAAATCGTAAGCTTGCTGATGAGCTTTACCCGAGCTCTTTCAGAGAGCTTGCACCCCAAATAGCCAAATGAATATTTACTGTCATCTAGTCAAAGCACGCTTCCATATGGCTGGAAGAACGCCACAAATACACCCATTTAGAAACAGAGCTATGGATACTACCCATCAAATTACAGACCAATACACCTGAGTAGTACTGTAGTTACAATCCTAGGAAAAGTAATCGACTTGAACGGACTGGTAGAATGATTGTCCCCATCATCAAGTGACTCATTTAAGAAGGCTGTACAAAGAAAGAGTTCTATTCGGAGCTTAAAATCGGTTAACAGCCTCCTATGTGTCGTAAAAATGCTTATGGTAGGGCAGGGCGCCACTTTGCAGTAGCCTCTGGTATGTAGTGTATCGAAAATGAGAGTTGGTTCCACGATAATTGCACAAGCCTTACGCCCTCAGCACATAAGAGGTACAGTAACGCAGAGAATATCTGGTTTTGCATGTTGTGCTGCTCGGATACTCGCGCGCCGGTAGAAGAGGCAAAAACACTTCTGAGTACGATAACAAACTAGCATCCAAAGGGAAAGTCGATAACTGTGATAGTGATAACGACACAGCATTCATTGACATATAGCTGTGCAAAATTTTAAGAACGTCCCACGACATGGTGTAGTCGGGAACGTAGACTACCTACTAGGTGTGTTGACAGCGACTTAGAAAAAACCACACAAACCAGGGTGAAGTGAGTGTCTTTAGGTTTTCGCATCCGCAGACCCAGTCTGAGAACTACCTACCGTAAGACTAGGTCTACTTCCGACTAAAGAGACGGGAGTGAAGTACTCGCAGTGCCAACCACGGAACCATGCAGGTCTTAGGTCATAATCAGTTCGGCGACGCAGTTAGTAACGAAAATTACACAGAATGGGATACAAGTCCACAGGACCAGGCTTTAGTAAGCCTTGTATGCCCGACTCTGAGAAATGGCAAGTAATCAAGTCTAAACGGCATGGCCAAGAAGCCAGCGACGGTCAACGAATCAACTATCACCACTCCACAGAGCAAAGATAAAGTAGAGCTCCTTGATAGGTTGTAATCTTCCACAGAGTGGAAGAAAGTAGAGACCCAAAACCACGTAAACGTTTCGAACATGACCTTGGGAAGGTACAAAGTTTGATAGACCAGCTTTTACAGGAAAACATACCAGAGCCACCCTACTCAAGATATATAGGGTAGGCAAAAAAGAGAGTCCCTACTGGAAACAGGTTTCGGCTACTTAAAGTTGTGTTAAAGTTAACAGATAAGAGGGGTCAGATTCTGAAGAAGGCTCATAGACTTCAAGGATCTGGAGTGTTTGAACGTAAGGATTTGGCTCTAGTGGATCGAACCAAAAAACGAAAGGCAGAAGAAGAACTAAAATCCAGATTAGTAGCAGAAGACCAAGATCTAAAAGCAGTGGGTTTTCATGTAGTCAGGTTTCGGCAACAAATGATACCGAAGCCCCTATGGATAGGACGGAAACTCCTTCAAGTAGTCATCGTCTTGTACACAAATGCACGCAGTCTTATAAACTAGTGGACTGAGCTTAATGATTTAATAAGTATAGAAAGTTCTGACATCATTGCTATCTCAAAACTTGGTTCTCTTCTGGGATCAGTGACTGTGAAACACACAAGGATTTGTCCCATTCAAAAGTGACAGGTTAGCATGCAAAGGTGGTGGTGTCATCTTTTAAGATAATAATCCCCTAACTGTAAAAGGCATAGAAATGGTTGCACATGAAAATGGGACATATGAAATGCTGAGCTGCCGACTAAAATGCAAGAGACAAGATGTTGACGTAATCATAGTAGATGGAAGCCCTGAATGTGAGGCAGGAGCCTAATACGACACAGAAGGGTTTTACATACATTACACAGTCAGAAATACACCCCTATTGTAAACTAATGCTTAAGAACTGTAGTATCAACCATTTCCATGGAAAATTCGGCTCTATCCCAAGGTTCCCTAAACTAGCCCGAAGTAAACTTCGGCCACTTTCCCATTGCCCGACATGAGCCCTAAGCTATTGCCGGCTGAGTACTTCTAACGAACTTTCAAATACTTGCTGCCTGTTCCTGGGTGACAGTCGATGGACTTAATTCTCAGCTCCAAAATGTAACATTCAACCTCGAGTGAGATAAAGCGTTAACTTTTGTTGTTTCCTTACCTTAGCCTTGACCTTGCCTATTGGCCTTGAATTTGAAAGATTCAGTTTCAGATTTGTGGCCTCAAAATCAAGGTCATCCAACATCAAGCATCCGACATCAATAGTGTGAGCAGAGCAAACCTGTGGTTTTTAGGCTCTCGCTTCAACGTATTGTTGCTTGGTTCTTTTGTCCTGTTATACTGTTTCGGTGGTAGCAGACGTTTTTGTGTTTTTCCTGTTTATAGCTTTCAAACTTCAAACTTCGTGTTGTAGAATTAGTGAACTCCGGTTGCTTGGTTCTACTTCTGTCTTATTGGAATACGTTCTGAGTTTGAAATGGTCACAATTATCTTCCCGGTTCTCAAAAACCTGAAAGGATAGAGACACGATTGATTAATTAAGTAATCTGGTCTCAAGTTAGTATTGCTGCCTCTGATCTGGGGAAAGCTTCTCGAATATAGCCCATCGGTACGGTAGGAATCGAGGTGTGCGTCTAGCCTCCCTTTAAAGGTATCAGGGGACCGAGCTGTTAGCACGGATCTTTGTACGTGCTCTCTCATGCTCTATTCTTAACGGGCGACCCCTCAATTCGCGTTTCCGACTAAAGCTTACAAGGGATCTGTTGGGATGGAGGGGACTATGGGCGATGTGGTACATCATGATCATATCCCCTCTGATCCTCCGGTGTTGTACTGGATGCAGCTGAAAAGCAACTAAGCTGTCTGGGTACGGTTTGTGCCGTAACCCAATCACTTTCTTTGTAGCTCTTCTCTGTGTCCGTTCTAGGATAGCAATGTCCTTTTTCAAGTATGGGGACATTACAAGCGAATTTTTTTCTAAATGAGGACGAATGTACAAAGCATAGACTGTGGTGAAAAAAGGAGTTAGACACCCTAAGGTTCGCGAGAGAAACCCCAGGATTCCATAAGCCCTATTGGCTGCAACGCGACAGTGAACAGAGGCTCGTCGTGTATAGCTTAGTGTAACTCCCAGATCTTGTTCCATGTTAGAGTGACAGATATTTATTTCACCTAGAGAGTAAGAACTGGGACTGCCTTTATGTTTGTCAACTATCATAATTCGACGCTTCTTCGAGTTGAGAGGAAGCAGGTTTTCTGTAGTCCAATTAAGGATTTTCGTAAGGTCCTCCTGGAAGATCGAAATATCTGTTGGTTCCTGTATTTCCCTCCAGATCTTCAGATCATCGGCATATAACAGTGAATGTGAATTAAGGACCCCTGGTAGGTCATTGATAAAAGCAAGAAACAGTAGTGGGCCCAGTATGGAACCTTGAGGCACACCACTCAGCATCGGGAACCAATCAGATAGAGAGGAGCCAACTCTAACTGGCTGCACCCTGGTGTACAGATTATCTCTAAGCCAGAATAATAATTTTCCGTGTACGCCCATGAGCTGGAGTTTCTCACAAAGGATATCATGATTTACCCTGTCAAAGGCCTTAGAAAAGTCAAGTAAACCAATGTGTATAGGCTTTTTCTTCTCGATAGAGAGTGTCCAGCTATTCCAAGCTATCAACAAGTTGGTGTTACATGACCTTCCCGGAAGAAAGCCATGCTGACAGTCGTTTAGGATTGATTTCTGAAGCAAGTGATCACGAAGTGAGTCATTTATGACTCTCTCCATGACCTTCGCAACTGAAGAGATCAGGGAGATTGGTCTGTGGTTGGAGGCGAGTAGTTTGTTTCCACCTTTATAAATTGGGACGACAGCCACCCGTTTCCAATCACAGGGTAACCTGACTTCCAGAAACGAGCATTTGAAGAGGTTTTCTAGTGGGGCACGCAGAACTTCAGCACACTCCTTGAGTGCTCTTGGGTGAATCCCATCGGTCCCCGGAGACTTATTCGGGTTCAGTTCTTTAATATTTCCATAATTACAGAGGGTTTAAACTCTATATGATTTAGTCCCTCTGTGATACGGGTATCCGATAGAGGTGGGGTTTTGCCTCCCAAATGACAGTTGTTTTGGAACTCATGAGCTAGTAGGTTTGCAACTTCGGAGTTGGAATAGAGAATCTCGAAACTAATGGGGTCCTGTAAACTTAGTGAACTGTTACTCTTCTGTTTCATCAACGAGTACAGTATCCCATGATTCCCCTCCAGGGTTCTGCAAAGTTGTGTCTGGTGGTTTATTCTATCTTTTCGATCCTTATTGTGTACTCATTACGGGTGTCTTTATAATTTGGCCAGTCAAAAGGGCTATTAGTGCACCTCCATAGATTCCAAGACGACCGTTTACGCCGTATTAGTTTGCGCGTGCTTGACCTAAGCCAGGAGCAGTAGAACTTGTTACTTCTTCTTGGGATCAGAGGAGTGTTGTCTTCTATCGTCTGTGCGATTATATTCTTCAACAGACCCCATCTAGCATCAAGATCCAGTAGGTCATCGCAATTTAAGCAAGCGGAACTTTCTAGATCTTACCGAACCTTCTCGAAATCAGTTCTCTTGTAGTTCCTAACTAGAGGCTGATCGGGAACGGGTGGCTTAGATACAGAAATATTGAAGGAGATAACTGCATAGTCACTCAGGCCAAGAGGGCTGAAAACATTCAAGTTGCTTACCCCAATGAACTGATTTGTGAAAATATAATCTGGTCGGGATGCCTTACCGTCAGGCCCCCGCGAGTACACTGGGAAACATGTTCTGTCAAGGAGTTTTCCAGTAACAATTCCCGAAAGCTTTTAGAGTAGTAGATGGACTTTTGTGGTAAAGAGTTGAGGAAGTTAAAATCTCCCAAAGAGGACCTGTGGGAAGTTCAGTTCCGGGCTCCTCTAATGGACTGTATTAACATTTTATTTAGCGTGGCATCAGCTGCAGGAGGGTGTATAAAACTCCAACAAACACGGACCTCCGAGTACTTAATCTACACCAGAGGACATCTTTATGCCAATTCATGAGACTGAATCTCAAGGATTTAAGGAAGGGAGGTGTAAGAGCAACGCCACCTCCGGCCCTCCGGTCTATCCTTTGGATTGGCTGAGCTGTCCTAAACGAACTTCCTCGTCTTTTATGTTTCTGATAGCCATGTTTCAAGAAAGCCATTAGCTAGGACTTTCCTCATCCACTATAACCTAACTCGGTACCTTGGAGCGTAGGCCTCGTACATTGCTGAAGGTACAGCGAATAAGAGTATGGGGCCGGAGGCCCAGCAACCGTTGAGTTAGCATGAGTTGCCAGCCTTAAATGGCCGGCTTTGACAAGTTTTTTGATAAGGCGGTGGAACCAAGGGCTACTGTATCCACTGACCTCTTTGACTGAGAACTGGTCCGGGTTCTTCGATCTGGGACAAGGTCGATAAAACTCTTGCTCATCGTCCAGCCTTCTACGTTAGGTGTGCGTTGGCCCGGTAAGCGCTTGAATCGCTTCTCGTCTGCCCTTGTTTCCTGGGTCTGCACTCGCTTATCTTTATTTCTCTGGGAATGTATCAGATACATTATCCAGGATTCCAAGTAGTTCTAACCATGCCGGAAAGTCAAGGGTTACTTGGAGTAGCCTGGGAGTACGTATAGTCGAGAATTGAGCCAGCCTTGGAAGACGATTTATTCTTTCAGCCCTCACATCGATTTGGAGTTTGCTGACAATATATCTCCACTGGTTTATGTCGTGGATAAGTTCGGCAGTATCGGTACCCGAACATTCAGGAATCCCGTGTATAATTACCGAGCAGCATAACTCTTGAGACTGAATCTTCTTGCTGTTGCAAAGAAGTTGTCGCACTGACCAGGGTCTACCAGGCCTAATCCTGACGTCAGACAGTTTACGTTTCACCAACTGATGACCTTTCAGAAGGATGTGTTCGGACTGACGTGTACTATCAAGAGATGCTCTTAAAGGTCTAGGAGAGCCTTTGGAGAACTTACTACGCGCTAGGCGTTGAAGAGATGGACTGCATGGAGAGGTTCCTAGGAGTTTGCAAACACTTCCATTGGTCTAAGTCATGTTCTTCACGGTCAGTCAACAGAGAGGAGCCACTTTCCTGAACGTTGAAGAGTATGAGCGATCTGAGATTACGGTTGTGGCTTGCCTTTTGGAGCTTATTCCAACCTGTGAACACAGACTCGGGTTTCTGATGATCTTTTTGCGAGTAACTTGGAAGACCTGAGGTGCCAGCTGTGGGAGTTTTCTTGATGACCGAACGAGGCTGGTGGTGAAATGAAGGTGGCTTCCTCCCTGAGTTACAGGTGGTGGAAGCAAGATCTGCTTTTTTCGGGACGTTTTTTCGCCTGAGTAGGAGGGGCAATGTTCAGCTTATGGTTCGGCTTCCCATTAGGCTGAGTAGTCGTTACTCTGTCAGACTCACGATCGTTACTTAGTGTTCCATTTTTAACTGGACTGACCTGCCTACATTTCTTCAGACCCTTCTTTTGGCGCTGATCAGGCGTGAGATTCCCATTCATCACTGAGGGGATCTGTTCCAAAGGCATGCTAACAGGGAGACAGTCCGTGACAGTGATGAATTCGCTACTTCCCTTACTGCTAACTTGAGGGATCTTTTTATGGCCATTAGACTTCTTAAGATTGGGGCTGGTTTGTGTAGGGATCTCAGCTGTAAGGTGGTCAGAGTTCTGTCTCGCTAGCTCTAGGCCTATTTGCTACTTACTTTTGGACCTACAACATGGACAAAAATACCGATCACCATCAAAAGGGCTATTAAGCAGTGCTTCATAATAACCAGATGGTCGGCTGGAATCCCAGGAGCAGTGAGTCCAATGAGAGCAAAGCTCACAACCCATCGCCTTAGCTCAGAAGACAACATTTCTGCGACAAACTACGCAGACATCCTTTGAAACTGTCATTAGACTGCATAAAAGGTAGGAAAATGTTTGTTCAAAGAGTTATGAACCTCAACACAGTAAAAATAACAAACTAATCAAAATTTGTCGAACCCCACCGTCCTTTTGAAAAGCGCGCGTAACGCTCAGACACCGTCGAAGGTGTTGATTGTCTGCTTGGGGGTTGCCTCCTATCTTCCAGTCTGGCAAACCGTGGTTTGCCTTCACAGCATTGTACGGCGCCTCCTGCTTGGTCTTTTATGCGGTACCACGCTGTGAGGAACCCTGTGAGTGATGCCTTGGAGTCGAAGCG